TATTTATCACATACTTAGATATGAGTCACGTTTCAAATGTAAGGCTGATGGTACTATCTGGTTACTCGAACCGAAGTAGTTGGAGCGCGATTCAAACCTAGAATATAGTGGCTACATGTCATATGCCTTGACCAACAAGCAGTGGATAAGTGGTTAAGACGTTCAGCTTTCTATCTTTACGTTTCAGGTCGTAATTAACCTCCACTTATTTCGTTTTAGGCAGATAGGTAATAGTACTAGGCCTGTCAAAGTCGAGTGTTTACTTGAGTTGGATTATCATATCTGCGCGTAAACACTGACTCAATGAATTTTATACTGTTATTAAATTCTGTCTATATGTATCATGCTCACCACGAGACTTAAAGCTCTTGTGTTCGATCCCCCGTGTACGTGCACTTAGCGTGTACTGACGAACGGTTTCAAACTAGGATGTTAAAGACCTATCCAATATTCGATACTTACAAATACTTCTGATTAGTGTCTGTATAGTAATAAAAATTAAAACTAAACTGAATCACTTCCGTAATATTTATGAAAACATTTCAAAGCTTTATCTATAATTTAGAGAGGATTTCTGAAAAACGTGTAGAAAATACATATTTAGTAGTAGAACATGTTCGCCGTATTTATTTATCGTATTTTTTTCAAATGTTAGCGTGTTCATGTTTGACTGAACGAACAATCAGATAAATAACACGCTCTGTTATGTACTTAATAGCTATTCAAATACATTTCATTAACTGTGATTATATCAAGGTTATCACAGGTTTCAGACGTATAATTCTATCGTTGTTTAAAATATTTTGTATGTTGAGGGAATTTGCTAAATTAGTTCCATCACTTGTGCGTTAAATATTCAAATCCCATAGTTTTTATCGCATATATAGTAGAAGAAACACTATTATCGACTTACAAATCTTAATTTCAAATACCATTCTACCCAATTCAGTTTGAGTATCTGGAGACTATCACTACTAGCCCACACATATGCAATATGACTGAAAGTACACAAACTAACACTTCATATCATTTATTAAAAATGTTTGTTTGATATATCATGAGTAATATCAGAATATATAGGTTAGTGAACTTGATTTTATCAACAACATAATCTTGTCTGGTCTTATAAGGTCTACCTAAGTTTGTGAACTAAACTTTTGCAATTCGGATCAATATAATACTTAAAAGTACTTACCGCAAGATATACTACATTAGATCAATGCAGTAGTTCAGCTGTAATATGAATTCCTAGTGAGATTTGTAAAAATACTTAGGAAGTTGTAATATGATCAAGTGATGTAACTACAAAGTATGATATGACTTGTATCGAACATTCTTAAGTTAGCAATCACTAGTCACAGTATAGTTACTAACATAATGCTATCATCCTTTTCTACGATATACCTTTTTACAGTAAGGGATATATTTTATGATCATTACATTCGACAGTATATCAGCTTGATCCTGTATTATTTGGTGTGCGTTGATTAAGTCGGTATAGTGTACAAGAAGCAAATTAGTATTTGTACTCTCTGACCCTTATCAGAAAGATGTATCCTATATCTTGCAAGGAATATTCCTATCTTCTAATAATCGGATTCCATCTCAAAATACAGCCTTATGAGATTGATTGTTCACTGAATAGTGACCAATCAATTGCAAATATCAGTGGTACAGCAGGTTAGTCATGACCCGAATATTCCAGCGATAAAGTCTCAGATTGTAAATTGGATAGTGTTTGCTAAACTCTGACAGAGGGCATCACTTACCTCAGGGTTGCAGTTACGTTTTCATTACTGATAAAAAGAAATTTCAAGCGATTCCTCTCAACTACCTACTGTTAACACAAGATGCTGAACTGTTGTATATGAGTGTGTTTTGAGTCACAACTTCTAGATGTATTTGATCTTCATTATCCAGTCGAATAGTATCTTTGATCCTGATGTACTAAGCCTGCTTGAAAACCTTGTGTTCAAATCTATATTTGCCATGTACGGCCGAGAGTGGGGGGAGTCAGCTCTTCCTCTCGAAATGCTCTCCAATGGTCACGTTCATACAACCACTGCCAGGGAAGTTTTACTCACTGCCTTCTCGTGGCGATGGTGTTGTTTGCGAAAATGAGAGGACGAGAAGTGATTGTCGACCGCTTTAACCGGGTTAGCGGATACGGAGGATCCACGTAGCGGAGTTTGAAAACCCTGATTCCAAACCAATGGTGCACATGGACTCCAGGATCCTAAAGAAACTAATGGCGTATGAATCAATCGTTCATCACTGGCTACTATGGTACTGCATCTCCTGATGTTGCTCCACTATCTTGTAGATTAGACCTTTAGGTCGAAGGCTCTGTGTGTGGCTCCCTAAGAAAACCACTTTCTTCGGTTTGGGCACCCGAGCAGTACCCCAGCCCTCACATAAATCGAATGATTTATATAACACATATCTATTTCGTGCTTTCTTGTACCAATGTTTACGTGTTTAAAAAAACTGACTTATATTCAGTATTTTAGTAATATTCTACGAATATAATTATACAACCTAACTATCGTACATGAATGTCATATTTTCCCAGTGAACTTACGAAACGACAAGTCACTAATTGTAATCATAATTAACTTCATTAATATTATCCGGAATATTTCTTTGAACTTAACTTTCAAAAAGTGGAGTTATTTTCATAACTGAAAAGTCTATTTATAACATTTAGATCGTTTACCATTTCTTTATGATTGTTGTCCACTATAGATAAGTAGCAGATTTTATCCCTTGTTCCACACACCTTGATAGGGTACATGTTTCATGTGTGTTTTTCTCATTAATTATATTCGCTTTTGTGTGTGTGCACATGTCTAAAGTTATCTGTTTGTAAATAATAAAATTTAACAACTAGGGTTTCCAATTTACTAGTAAATTACTTATTTCTTAGTTCGTAGGGTTAAAATCTGATCGACATAATGCAGCTGTCACTACTCAAACTTAGTCCCTATTTCTTTCACATGTTTATTGTGTGTTAATTAGCGAAACTATTTTTTTTCGCGTATTAAAATTCCAGTTTCACAGTTCACATACATTTTTTAGTGTTTTTTTTTCCCCTTTAAAAGTAAAGGGTTATTTTATTTACAGTAATCATCATTTCAGTAATAATCTAATGGACAGGGTGTATGATGTTTCATTTCTTGATATAAATTTTAGATCCATACTTTTAAAATTCCAGGTCACAATAGTGGTATTTATATACTGGTCAGCCTTATGAAACATAGAACATAGTACATCTATGTATCGATTCAATTTAGCACACGCGTCATATTAACTGTTGTTTATTACTGTATTCGATTTTCAAATGAAATCATGAAATGTTACATTGTCTTCAGGGATTCAAATTTCGCTGAAAGAAAGTATTATTACAAAAATCACTATACTTACAGACTTCTGAGTTGAGATCTTCACACTAGTTCAGAATAATAAAACAATTACCATTCCAACCCATTTAGTTTGAATACCTGATAAAAAGTGATTTTTATAAGATTAGTTTAGCAATAAATTAAATATCAATAACTATAGATTGATTCATGTTTAACTCTGCCAATGTAATTTGAGTGTTGATGATTTTGTCGAGTATAATAATCAAAGCTGCACTCAATTCATTTCATTTAGAAAATGCAACGAAAAAACTTTCAGATCTTCCTGTAAGCGCCATTGGTTTTTAATTGTAGAATCCAATTATTCATGTGTACAACTCGATTTACTTCACTCATATCCTTATATCCAATTTGTACTGAACATTGTATTTGTCTAACAATTTAAGTTGATACATTTGAATTGTGTCAATGATTAATTTTTGTTTCTTCATTACAATAAGGTAATCAATTTCTTTATGTTCTACTGTAGTACGGCAACTTGTACTGATGTATATATGTATGAAGTTCTACGTTGTTATTGACTGACTGACTGACTATAGAACTCAATAATTTACTTTCACAATTCATTCATGACTCAATATGATTAATACATAACTTATCATCAATTTTGTTAAAGATTGGTCAAAATATATTGTTTAATATGTTTAAATATTTGATTATCAAACTATCTGATTATAATCACACAATCATATTTGAAAGTTTAATTTACTATTCTAAGTATAATGACTTGTACATTTTCTAAAATCTGTTAGAATAGGTTGGAGTTATCTAGAACTGTCATCTACAGACACATTCAACGTGGTAGTATAGCCAAATCTTCTGGATGGAAATTTCACATACTAAAAATTACGGCTTAAAATGAGATCTTTAATGATAATAACTCTGTAGTTCTAGGCACTCAACTGAAAAAAATGATCAGAAGTATTGAGTACAACACATATAATGAATATGAAAATCATTTGAGTGAATTGTGGTATTTTCACAGTTTTAAGTCACCAGGACTAAGCCATCTATTTCCTCCAAGTTTTTACTGGTCGTTCAGCTAATGCCTTTTCAGGTTTTAACACTAAGAATATAAAAATGTTGCAAATAGCTTCAGGCAATATATAATTATGATTTATTTAGAAGACAGTTGTAATCAGGATCAATCCTAGATAATATTTAATTGTCTTAAATTTATTATGGTTTCGTCCATTCAAATTCAAACATTATTTTAACACCAACTTTCTTGGTTTGTAATCAAGTTAATTGTAAAAAAAATATATTTCTGGTCTTTGTGTTCATTATTGGTGGAAAGCGGTACATAAATTAAGTACCTGAATTATTTGTTATGTGCTTCATATCACTAATCAAGTAAATATATAGATACTTCAGTTTGAAATACACTACTTAGTGTAAGTTCTGTAACCGGACGATTATCGAACATACTCGCACGCATATGTGGAACGTGTTTAATATCAAATTATTTCGAATAGTTCATTTTCGCTATATCCACTCATCCATTCAGTGTTCTTTTTCTTTATTTTTTTAAATTTACCTATTAATCTATCTCACAAATTCTACATTTTATTCATATTTCAGGCTTCATTCTCTTCATCTGATGATTCAGATATTATTGAAAACAATAATATAAATTCAATTGATGAAGATGATGATCTACCTTTATCTACATTCCTTCCTTTGAAATCAGATACTTTGACCAATAATACAACTATTATTACTAATCATCATTATCATAGTAATAATAATAATACTAACAATAGTATTCATGATGAAAAAAATTTCATACCATCTTGTCCATGTACAAAACCTGCAGTTCTAGATGATCCACGTTTAGATGGATTATTTTGTTCACCTGAATGTCTTATACGTGCATGTCATGAAGCGTTTGATGTATGGTTAAGAAATCATCATTGTATTAATAATAATTCTATAATTTAATCAATAGAAAAGAATGCACAAGATAATTATGCTCTCATAGTATTTGTTATAAATCTCATTTAAATGTGTACATATTTATAAATATTGTTCGGAATATATATATATATATATAGGATGTTTGTATGATTTGAAATGTGTACAGATATTTATGTAGAAAGAACCGTATTTTAATGTTGTTCCTCTTTTTATTATTATTATTATTAATTAATTAACAGCATTTATATGAATTGTGAATAGAGAATCGATTTTGTGCACACACGAAATAGTAGGGAGTAGAAGCAAATCTATCTATGTAATTAAACAGCATAATATCCGAGTGAAAATATCCAGTTGAAAATCACACTGTATGTTTTTTTTTAAAAAAAAAAGAAAAGAGATATCAGTAATTAACTTGTTTGAGCTGTTTAGTTCAAAGAATAAATAAATAAGTCAATTAAAGTACCGAATTACTCAATTAGTGTGTGAAAATATTATACTTGTCATTGTACTGATTATAAGTTCTTCTTTTAATTGACTTAACAAGGATAATTACCTATTTTTTTTTGTAAGATGTCCCAGTTTATTGATAAAATGACTGGGATAGATAATATGATTAGATAATGTAATGTTTAATCATTGGATCAATTTTTAAACTTCATTTGAATTAGTCATAAAAGACAGAACTATCAACTGTCATTTAGTGTGAAATGGTTGTTGGCTTATCTTGTTAATATTTCTTTACTAGATTTTGATCATTTAACAGTAAAATAATTGAAAAGCTATTACAAATTGGAATAAAATACATAACTGTTACAGAAATTAGTAGTTGGTTATATGAACTCAGTTGAAAACGTGATGAGCGTTTGAAGTAAATAGTCTTGAGTTTGTGCACCCTTCAGTGAACATCAACTCCAAGACTGAGGTATATCCGAATGACACGATCAAAATAGAACGAAACGTTTAGTTAGTTATATTCTATTTATCTTATAGAATATCTATTCTTATTTACTTATTACTACAAATTATTAAACTTATAAATGTGTGACTGAATTGATTTTACAAGTGATAAATAAATTGTCAACAGTATAATTACAGTATACTATACAACTAATAAATACTTCATTTCAATAAAACAAATACAAATTGCTAAAACCGTAGTTTTTTTCTAATGTTTATGAACTTCTTTTTTTTGATATGATATAGCACTAATTACGCGACAAACTTTGACATGTTTTCTTCATAATCCCATGTCAATCACTAGAAACAATCATGAATAACATTCTTCCTCTTTAATATTTCCTATCAACTCGGTGCTCAAATATTGTGAAACTATTCGAAAGTTCTTATTTATTAATTAATGATATATGTTTCTAAGATAAACAGTAGCCGTGTCTTTAATTTCATTCATTCATTGTTTGTTTATTTGTTTTTGAATCTGTTCTGATACTCTTCAAATCTTTTTTTTAGCTAAATTATTTTAAGTCTTTCATTTTCAGTGAATTTGATAACAATATTTTCTTGATTGTGTACTTTTGCTTTAATGCTCTTGTTGTACAATAAGTTTCTTAGCCCATTTATTAAAAACATGTATAGAAGTGAATAGTTAAATGATTTGAGCCTTTAACTATCGGTTGATAGATTGTAGTTACAATCTCATAAACTGCTTAATCTAATTTTAATTAGTCAAATATCAGTAGTATCGCTGGCTCTCGCATTAAACACAGTTTAACTGTGTTAAGTGACCATTGTAAAGATTGAATCTGTAGTTGTCCACAGGAATTGTATGAATCTTATGCAATACACTGTACGAATAAAAGGTGTTATTAATAATAATTTTCAAACTGAGGGTATGTGATCTCTAATTAGGGTTTCATAAAATTTATGAAATGTATCTATGAATATCACAAATAACGAAAGATTGATCACATTTATTGTGGTTTTAATAAATAAATACACATCAGTACATTAAAATAAACTGAATTATCTTGTAAAAGATACTGAAAACCTATCAAATAATAGTGTGTATTCAAAACATCCAGGCTATTCACAGTATATCATACTGATGAAAAGTAGATGATAAAGATCATTATCTATTGAAATCTAAACAGATTATTGTAACACAATGCAGGATATCGATACATACTCGTTTTATGGATAAGAATTTCCAACTTCTCAATTACTTAATTATACTCTTCAGGCAAGACTATAATTTATAGACGAACCAATCAGATTGACGATAACATGTCTTAGATTTTGGCGCGAAATTGGTTCGTCAATTTGACAAAATAAAGTTTGAGCATTATAGCTGATGTCAGTTCGTCATGAAAACCTTAAATATCATTCCTAACCTTAGACGTCAACTGTAAATTACAGTTCGAAGTCCTCATATAGGTTTTTAACCCTCATTTGGTCCTAGTTATTAGATGGACACTATCAAGATCACTCAAAGGTCGTCCATAAATTATAGTCTCACCACTCTTCAAAATAAGTTATTCACTTGAAATTATTCCTTGATGTTTTGTGAATCTTCTAAATATTCAGTATTTTGTTATTGAATCTTAGTTATTATTATTGTTACTTTTCTTTTGAATATCTATTTTTATTATGATTGACCGACTGAAACATCTATAATTTGCTAGTTAAATAAAGTTCGTCTTTTCATTCTCCGATTTCATTTAACTAATCGATGTTTAGTGATCTATCTCTGTTGAACTTTTCAGAAGAATTTAAACCTCAAATTGATTTTCATACTTAAGTCCATTCATTTACTCTAAGATGTCGAATTGATAACTATAATGTAGAGTTTGTTATAGATCAGATCATTCTCTTATTACGTGTACACATGTTAAACATACTTCGTTTTTTTTTTTTTTTTGTATTTTTTTTTCTCACTTATAGAGTATTCAACTAAGAATAGTTTTCGTTTTTATTTTTTATCAAAATGTACTATATTATAAATTGTCTTCAAGCACAAACAACGAAAATAATGTAACTTGTAGGTTTGAAAAGCTATTTTGCTCGAAATTGTAAAAATTAAGACTGTAAGTTAATCTCATTCTGTCAATCTGTCAGTTAACATAATCTTGGTAGACGATTAGCATTTAACACATGTTTATGACAGTTAAATTCGTATAAATAATGCAATTATACTAGTAACGGCATTATAATGAGTGAGTCAAACCACACGCATGTCTCCAAATATGTATATAACAAGAATTGCACAAATAAAGTCAAACTATATGAATTATGAATAATAACGAAACTAGTTATAAACAAACTCAATTTATATTATTTATCACTACAAGTGATGCAGAATAGTTTACATTATTTCTACTTGTGCGATGTCAGTTATCTATTAGAGATAGAAAATTCTACGACTATAATTCAAAAAACGGCATGCTATTTTCGGATGATTTTCTTCATTTATAGGTGCTCAGTTAATAGAAATCTTGTTTTCAACTTAATTACAATTTTGTGTTAAAACTGACTAAAACTCGAGATCATGTTTTAATTTAATGTAAAAATTACTCAGTATTTACGTAAAATCAGTTCTTGTATTCTATTCATTTATGTATGATTTTTCTTGGTTATCCATCAAACGATAGTCAAATGTACCTGTTAAATGAATGTGTTTAGTCAAGGCTCTCCTTATGTTTTTCCGAGGACTAGTGAAATCTCCATCTGTCGTACGTTTTGTCGTTTTCCTAGGATCATGCAAATATCAGTTTTCAGCTATTTAAAGCACCAATTACCCACAGGTTACATCTTTCAAATTATTTATGCTCTTTGATGAGCATATTTAGAATAACCTAACGTTAGTAACCTGTGTTTTTGTAAAGATTTTAATTTAGCTTCAATTACCACCAGCGGGTTGCGTGACGATCTGTAAAGTTAAAGAAACATAACAAGACATAAACACTTTATGAGTTGAAGGAACTAGGGATGATTGTTCACTTGATGAGAACGTAGATAGGGGGAGGAACAGAAAACCTGGAGGTGACAGCCACAAGCATAAAAGTTAGATGATAATGTCAACAACGAACGACCGTATTTGAAAAATTAGACGTATTAAGATCGTTGTAGAATAAGAGATAGCTCATGATGCTCCTGAATAAAGCAACACTTCTGAACCAATTAATTTCTAAGATCCCTACAGTGCACAGATTCTTGATTTGTGCTACCTTGGAACCCAGATGTTTGGCCGTGTAGACGACTTATGAAGTTAATTCTGCTAAGAGAGCTGACGAGATGCTTTATTATTTATCTGTTGAACATTTCGTATTCTCAAATCGAAAGTTATCCAAACATTAAATGTTATATTTTTTACCGAGAAACTAGGTAGAATTTGTTTATCTAAAGAAGAAAACAAGTAAACAACGCAGTCACCATGACATTAAAAAATCTTTTTGATGATTTCTATAGACATAACATATTCATTTGTCAATAGAAAGGATCTAAACTTGATAACAGTAAACCTTCAACATTTAGAATATCATTTAGTTGGGATTGATGTTCTTTTTACAGGTATGGAGATTATCCTTGTAGATTTAGAAAGTTTATTTAAAAAACCGATAAAAGCAATACAACCGATCAAAAGATATCGGACATCACTGACCCATCGTAACCTCTCGAACGTATAAAGTCAACTATTCTACAAGCGTATGGTATGTATGAAAGATAATCCGTTTCTCCATAACAATTGATATAACTAACCATACCAGCTAATTGGCATGAATTCTATGAGCAGTTAGAAATCATAATGATAAGTAGTACTTTTTATTTCTTCGATTTAATAGCCGATGTTAGTGTGTTTGAAAAGATACTAATGAATGATGCTTATATCATCACAAATATTCCTCTTGCTGAGATAATCTGTGATTACATTGTCATCAGCATTCTGAAATATCGTTGCCAGTTATTTCCACTTATTCATCTTATTTACACTCCTCAAGTTACTTATCATTTTCTAAACAAAAAGAAGACACTTCAAGGTATAAGATACATATTGATGGATTTGTAGCGTATCTAGTTTTTTATATTCACTATGTGTTCCACGTCAGGCATTTTCGGGCGATTTTCTGTTCATTAGTAGGTGAGTGTTGCATATGAACGCATGGTTTTCACTGAAGATTTCACTCCGAGCTCTAACTTTAGGTTAATTAGATTTTTTTCCATCTAGCATGTTGGAACACGCTAAATTGGTGTTTACAGGAGACATATATAGATAGCTTTATATGATTGAATTGAAATCCTCAATGAAAATCACCCTCCTATATGCAGCAATCACGTACTAAATAAAAAGAAAAATGCTAGATATTGTACTTCTATTAAGTTGTGGAAAAGGATAGTTATCTTCACACTGTTTGAAAGAGGAATTATATTCGATTTCATCGACTAGAACTGGACAATTGTATTCATAGTTATTTTTATATACAACGATGGTCTATAGTATAGAATAATTGCATCATTAAAAGAGGTATTGAAAGTTAATCAGAACTAGAGATTACGTAATAGCCGAAGTGTAATAAAAATGAAACAATATATGGAAACGAGGTATGAAAGATTACCCACCTGACGAATATAGGGAAGGTAAACATATGAACGAGCTCACTTCGAAACAGTTTATAAAATAAGATATAGAACTTTTAGGAAGCAAGTTCTTTATAATTTGATGAGACGAAAATTTCGATTGTTGAAATCGATGAATAATGTGCTAATCACTAGATGAACGTAATGGTATGATGCGGTCAAGTGAAGGCTGCTTAACTTTAGCCCCTGAATAATCTAAACCTAAAAAAGACCACTAGCCAGATGGATAGGTCTTTTTATACAATAAAATAGCGTGCTTATATACACAATATGAACAGGAAATAAATATAGAATAGTGGTTTTCGGAAATTAGTTTGTACGTTTTTCACTCCAATCGATTAGGACCTGGCTATCAAGCTTGATTTCCTGGCATTGTAGACTGTCCACACTAAACGATATGGGATAATTCTCTGGCAATATTAATAAAACAATGATATTTTTGAATTCCTTCATATATTTCTTAGTTGTCAGAAAAATCAATCTTTTGTTTCTTCTACCGACTCCAACTGCCTTATTGATAATAATTCTAAGATACTCCTTTTCTAAGGAACAGTAATGCGAAAGATAGTTGTCCAGTTCCATACTTTCTCCCTGAATTATTTTTACCACTTTTAAGACTAATGCAATTCGCACAGAATATCTAAACAATTTTGATGACTTTGTTACTGTTGGGACACTCCTCTGTCTTACTATATACCGCTAGACAACAATAAACATTAGATGAATTAAGTCTTCGGACATTTCGTGACTCAGTGCAAGCCACTTCTTCAGAGATTAGACAATCTAATATTCTTGCTTTACTCCTTTGTACTATTTAAACTTGGTCTAATTTAATTTGGTTATTTATTGTTTAAAGAAGTGGCATCCACTGAGTCACGAAACGTCGGAAAATCTGATTTTTCTACTCCCTGGGATATTACAAATATATTATCTTTATTTATAACAAATCTATCCAACGTTCAGTTTATTTGGAATTATCAGGTCAAACCTTGATAATGATACTAATGAGCATGATTGTATAGCATTACTAGATGATACTGCCGAAAAGATTTCCTCCAGTTAGCCTAGTTAATAAATGAATCTTCGTCATCTTCACATGGGATTCATCTCTAACTGCAAACTGTTCACATACGTTGGTTAGGATTCTTATACTTGATAAACTAATAGAATTTCTCTTACCAAAAACTGTTCGGTCGAAAACGTTAGATTAGTAGTTATCCATTATTGGTTGAAATGATTAAGCATAATCCAATAGTTATAATTTCACTCAATACATTTAGTTAGCTAAAAAACAAGTATCCAACTGTCTCACGATAGTTGCAAGTAATAACGAAAAACTTATTTGGTTCATTTGAAAATAAATTTGATTAGGTGGTAAAAGTACTTGATCATATAACATTTATTACGTAAAAGTTATTTAAATTACTTGATAGATAGGATATAGTTTAAGCCTATGACCTAATAATCCACTTTAGGACGACTAAACGTATGAACCAACACTTCATCAATCTACAGCTAAGAATCACTTCAACTAGAAACAAAATACTAACCAGAAAACTATGTTATTCGTTTTGCACAAAACCTACTAACAATTTTAATACATAAAGTAAGACCAACAACCTACAATCGCACACCAACCGTTTCCTATCTTGATAGGTGATATTTGCTTATGTACGTTGGATGAAAGATAGGTATGAACACACCAAGAAGTGACAACAGTCCGTGATGTCATTGGCAGTTGAACTAAGTGATGTTAGTAGGTGTAGACCATTTGATTATGGTCTGAGAAATTACTGGGACCAATGTTTGGAGGCTCAAGGTCAGTTGCAATGAAGCAGAAACAGCCTTCTTTTAGATCTTGAACTGATGAACATACGCGCTGGTATATGCGTTGCTTATCATTAATATTCAACCACAGCTATAAAACAGAAGGATTGCATTCAAAGTATTTCTACTACACTATGTAGTCGGTAGATCGAAAAGGACATTGTACAGTACATAGATTCACGCGATCGGGGTGTACACTTAAGCGATCAAATATTATGAACACAGTGGAAACAACTTAAGTTTACTCGATAAGATTTCCAAGATGACTGATACAATTCACGTTATTTATGTCACATAATTTCATGTCCTCGTCCAATATTTTGCCCCATATCACTATATCAACACGACAGAATTAATCAATCCCAGAGGACATGTTCTTATTCATGAGCAGACTGGTACCTTTTATATTAAATCATAAGTGACAATAACAGGGAGCCTAAGTGCCTGATTGTCAGGTTTACCACGTTTAAAAAAAAGTATATCTAGAAATTTGAGTTTATCATCAACATCTGAAATTTACAGACTGACTATTAAACGGTGACCATTATCATTCCGAATAGCCCTTAGTGCTGATCAACAGAATTCAGTAAATAAAGTAACTAACGGATGTAGATATCTTGTTCCTAAAAGACATCAATCGCGCCCTGAATAGTCTAGTAGCCATAACATCCTTTACCGTAAAACCGGGTGACTCGGGTTCGAATTACAGACGTAGTGTCTATTTCGTCAAGTTTCCAGGTACACCTTAATGACTAATCTTATCACTGTAGAGTGGAATGTACAAGAATTATAAAGATCGCATTTCGAATAATAGATTATACCAGGAACACGCTTTACTGATTAATACATACCATAATTTACAGCCTTGTAGACCAATGAAGAACTGAGAGTTCATTTGGTACTCATGATATACTGAAGTAACTAATTATTAATTACTTAACAGTAAATTTGTGATTTAACTAACACTAAGTAAACCAACTAATTCAAAGATTTATTAAGGTATTCAAAATAGGAAACACCACTGACCACAGTCGAAACATGTACTATAAGATAATAAAAACAAGAAAAGATGATCATGTAAAAACTAGTTTATTTACAAGTCAAACACTCGTCATCATTACCACTAAGCTTTCTCACACGTTTTAAAGATTTGCGTTTCGACTGTTCAGTAGAGGAGCTGCAATCAGCTTTAATAACATTATTATTATTATCATAAGATAGTATTTGACAGTCTTCTTCATTAGGATTAGTTACACTTGATTTAATATCGTTATTGTCATTTGAAATTCCCACTGGACCCGGATCCTGTTCACTCGAATTATGCTGATCTGTTAAAAAAAAAGATATAGGGAAAAAGACCAATTTTATTTGTTAAACAATTTTCAACTTCCAAATTTTCAGAAAAAACGCAAAAAAGTAACTGGAATTCTTTGATGGAGGAGACAGAAAGTGATGAAAGTGCAGTGAGACAATTAGTAATCATGAGAAATCAAGGCACATAGATGTACATGTATAGAGAAATAATAATAACAATAATAGTAGCAATAAGAATAATAATAGTAATAATTACAGTATTAGTAGTGATAATAATGACAATTATATTAGTAATAATGAAAATAATGACAACAGTAATAATAATGGTAATAATAATGATAATAGCAATGATAATAATAGCTATATTCAATATTATATGCTTAGCAGAATTCTATAGTCCGGTTACACAAAGAATGGGGCTACAATACAATATCAAATAAATAGTGAGAAACATAAACTACGTGGTAGCTTTTACACACAATGAAGGTTCATACTAACAGTCAATGATTTCATAAATTAATATTGTGTTCGTTTCCCACCAACCAATTTCTAATTCAATCAGTGTTTGGATCCACGGTATATTTTTACTTAAAATATGGACGGATTTCTAGCCTACGCCATAGGACGGGGGATTTCACAAAAACTGGATAGGGATTCTGGATTTTAGCTGAGATTTCGTTAGACACCAGGCTATCAGGGCTGAGGAGATTTACAAGGTAAGTAAAGTTGTCAACTCTATTAACTGCCTTAATTTAAATGATCAGATTAAGCGTGGCATTTAAACATAGCATACCTCGATTTTGGTGCTGGATTGACAGCGTTCTCAAAGTTGTATCATTAAATGGAGGTGAAATACTGTTAAGTGATTGATCTAATTCATTCAATGAGGCAAACAATTCCTTTTCAACTAAAATATGACGAGCTCCTGATGATTTTAACATGACATTCAACGAGAAAATAATGAGTTCTGTTTCCATTATAGAATTTAGATAAACTGTATGATCATCTGTAGATTTCATAGCAGAGATAAGATTTTTTGCCGTATTGGAAAATTCTTTGGCATATTGTTTGAATAAAACGGAGTGTTCCGCTAGTTTCTCCACCATACTAAAAGTTTTCTTACGATTTCCTTTTATTTTAGCTAAAAACAACTTACATTATTCGTTGTAATAGATCAATCACAAACTTACTTTCGGATCAAGTTTCAAACGTTGCTTCATAACCATTATAAGAAGTGGTTTACGTTATAGGCGTTTTCGTCCACAAGAATAAATTGAATGGCAACTACTTAACTAAAATTAATAAATGGCGACAATTAAATTTATTTGGTACTTAAGCAAAAAGATAGTTAATAAAAAATAAGTTACTACAATGTACAGTTTAAATGCTTGTTTCCGTAATTATACACACATTACCACTCTACTCTTGTTGTAACCAAAACAGTGATACCAATTTGTGATTATTCTGCTTTTGAGGTCTATGGCAACCACTTGATCAAAAAATCAATCTTCTTAAGCTAAACTTCGTATCTGAAGCCACTCGCCTTTCTTCTTGGTTCAAAGAGAGTTGTAAGCTATGTCCATGTACCCCAACTTGTATTGTTTTGCAACCATAGCTGCTTCCTTAACGTAGTTATCAGGTTTGCATATAGTAATGTGTCAGTTGACCTATGTTGGTTACAATACTTCTTTTCTTTAGGTCCTACTACACCAGAAAGATCATTTGGAGGACAGTAAGACTGAAAGCAGCAAGCTAACGGTCTGAGGAAATCATCAAACTGCATGACGAGGTAGGCGCTAACTTGGAATCCTGAAGAGAAACGAAGAAGATGTAGGTCAAACAACATACTGCGTCGAGAATTGGAAGCAGACATGAAAAGGACGAATAGCAACCGGAAAGGATTGCCCAGGGCAGAGTTAGATGGAGAATGCTGGTGAGCGACCTATGCTCCTCCATGAGGGGTAACAAGCATAAGCATCTTGACCCACGAATTGCCATCTCCTGTGGTTGTATCTTTTGAAGTACGAGGCTAACACATAAAAGCTTGCCACAAAACGGTCGTGTGACCAGTTTTAAGACGATGTCCCTTGGGCTCTGAAATCACGCTCCCAGGTAGCTAAGATTGTCACTAATTCAGTTTGTTCTTCAGGTCTCTCAACAAGAAGCATCTTTCCATGGTGTGAGCAACTAGGAAGTGATAATTGCTCTCACACCTTTAACAACACACAGGATCATACCCTAATGAGAAGACGCACTCCTATGCATGTCACTGGACGTGAGTAGGTGAGCAACAACATTCACGGAAACTTGATTTTGGACTATAAAGTTTGCAGTTCCATTTGTCATATGAAGAGAAACTGCAAACGTTAGATAGATTTCTTCAGCCAGAAGACATAATGGACAAATCTGTAAGTTACTGAATTCGTTAGATTATTACTTCACACTGTAGATGATCATGGTGATGCGATTAATAGATGACAATCCTGAAAACTCCATGCGCTATATCTTGTCATACGTCATGAAACCTGAAGTTGCCAGACACTTCTGAATATCTGGCAGTTCATCGAAAAGTGACTCAAAAGTGCAGATTTTACAGTAGCACATGAAGTTTCTTTCTTCCTAATTAGGCGCGCTACTATCACTGTTCTTATTGTCATCCGTCACCTAGAAAGAACCTGATAAACTATTTGACGTCGCGAAGCAAGGGCATTTCCATGGAACGAGATATTACAAAACCGTAGAAGGAAAATAGAAAATGCTAGTACTAATTGGAAATGATAAACTTCCTATAGGTTCAGTGTTCAGCATTAACGAACATCACCGTAAGTCCCACTTTAAAAAATGACGGCAGTTAAACGTTATTGCAAATGTTGGTATATTAGACTTTAAAATTCACGAGGATTATTTTGATTCAGGATAGTAACGCTGCAGTTCAAAAAGGGAGTTATCTTTGGAATTTATTTTTATGTTAAAATTAATTTTCTCATAAAACTTTCTCTTACCATGCATTTACTTGGATGTAGTACGTTGTGATTAATCACATGTATATTGTAATAGGGTGTCTGATCTCATATTTGCTTAACAATTATGACACAATAAATAACGCATTGCATTTAATTTATCTAGCACATCATAAATAATAGCAAACTTGAGGTAGGATAAAACACACTGAATGTATTGGTAATTAAAGCGGTAGGGTCGGTCTGTTATTGATCATGGTTTACATTACATCAACAAGGTGGAGATTAAATAGAAACAGATTCACGAAGCAATGCTAAAATCTCAGTACTCCTCATTCACCAAATGAAAATACGTGACGAGCACCTATTTGTTAATAATCTACTTGCAAACTGTTATTTCCAGTTAATAAAGGTCTTTACCCAGAATGTTTTTTTGAATTAATCAATTGCAATCGAGATGCGATCAAACCTTTGTTTCGTAGTGGGAATGAGGGCGAACATGGAGAACATTTGTGGCTAGGCGAAAAGAGGAAATTTGGCGACATTTCATACTAACTTTAATCAATCTGTGCACTGAAAAGTCAGTGATCCAGTGGCATCGGTCATCGTGGAGGTTACTGAGCAGTTGAAGGTCAAACTGCTGTAAAACCACTGGTGCGTCACTTCAACAATTCATAGGGTCTAGCAGAAGCGGTCAAAGCAAAATAACCCAAAATTTGATTTGGGTTTAGCCTCACTAACTGATAACCCCCATCCTTCAAGTAACGAATATGATGTCAACATAACGATGTATGATATGGGATGAATCTGCACTGATATTGTGCTTTTGCGACGATTTATTAGTTGGGACAATTTTGAGACCTGTCCAAAATACATAAGGTGATAGAACTTCCGTGAATAATAGCTCTTTGTACAGTATACGCACACTAAGCATGTTATACCAGTATACAAAAAACAGAGTCGACCCAAGTTCGAAGTATTTTTCTTCATCTATGTTTTTACAAATGGACGTAAACTCAGCGCATCGGGACCAGATAATTGTCATCAGGATGTGAATGGTGGTAGTGATCAGCATTCCTCCAAAGAGCATGCACCTTCCAACTCATCATCACGACCTAGACAAAGAAAACAACGTTGGTCATTTCGAATGAATTTACACTGAAGGTCAAAGTATTATCACTGCTAATCTGGGTTTCGGGTCCGTGCAGCAAATAATGAGCTAAAAGTGACCTCAGTTAAAACAATACACAACTATCCTTTCCCAGAGGGGTATGTTTCTGTAGATCACTCGAGATAACAGTTATCGTCAAGTGAACGTTTATATTTAAGACCGTCTTTGTTGAGTGATACACCAACGCGTAGCATTCAACATCTGGTTTCTTGGATATTTCACAAGCAGCTTACCGAGGACGGTGTTGCCTAAATTCTGTCAAAGTTGCATCCAGGTTGTTAAACGTATAGTCGAAGTAATTGACTTTTAACATTAAACATATCAACGGGATTCTACAGCGCGTCCAACCAAACACAGAATTATTCGAAGAAAATGGGGATATTTCTATGATTTTTTTCAGTAGCAGGGAGCAAATGGCTATCTGCCACGCGTTTATAGAGATGGTATATATTGCATTGACTTGCCAGGACGACAAAATTGAGGAAGTGACGAACAATAACAACCTTACTTCGAAGTTCTCCATTGTTCTAGCTAGTCGTTACTGACAGTCTTAGGCAAAAGCACGTCGTTATGTATGCTCTTTGCAGGCAAAAATGATGCAAAGACGTCATAAGGTTACTCGAGTTTTTTAAAGACGTAGTGTATGGTACATATAATACACACAATTTTGTCAGGGATTCCGCAGTACTTTCTGCGCACAGTCATGCCGACATAGTGCTATGTTCGTTCTGACATGTCAGATTCATTTTTTTCGTAATCCATTACATTCAGATCTGCTCAGAAGTGCTAGTGTCTGAGAACCTACTTCTCACGGGCCTGTGGATACTTAAGAAATAATTGGATTGGCCGGAAGTAAATGTGGGTTCGCTGTTATCAGTGACATGTACTACGCCTGGATAACCACATAAACAACGGTGTGGAAATTGCTCATAAACACTTAAGAGAATATCTGAGGAGAGGTGATCCACTTCTGTTGACATTCTGGAAAGTCCGATGCAAGGCAGACATTGACCTACATTTCCGTCCGTACAACGAAATATAGAATCTTCAAAGTTTCCCAAAAATTGAGGCAAGAAATATAGTTCAAGTACCATCAATTTCAGATTACAAGATCATTGCAAACTCTTGTAAATGAGCTCACAGCTTTCATAACCAAGCTTGAAGTTGTTAATTATGAGCGATTAAAGAGAATTCGACACGAAGTAATAGCAGGAAAATGCATCTTATGTTACGACAAAGACAGTGTGTGAGATTGATACTTCGTATTCAAGATGTGTTTTTGAACGTCTAAAAGATTACATGTTGCAGTGTGGTCATATTTTGTATGCACATGCCAAAGATCTAATTCGTGGAGGTAAGTGTACATTTATTGGTCACTAAAACCATCGCAGAATAATTTTAACATAGCAATCCCTGAACAAGATACGTGCGTTGAACAGCATGTCAAGCTCTACATAGAGCGACGATCTGCTGGAAAAATTCATTAGTAAATGCCACTCAATCCGTTCTCCTAGTGAACCTTTGGCCAGAAAGTTTATCTGTCCGTGCTTTGGAGCATTCGAAGACATGTACACAAGTTACAAGTCCAGTTGGTAGTAACGAAGAAGCTGCAATGTTCTGACTGACCATTGCTATGCTCCTTGATAACGTGACCTTTGATAGTGCAGTTTTTCTTCAATTTTACATAAATTCATTCACATGGCTATCAATTTGTTCTCACAGTGTTACGTGAGCGAGAGTGTAATATGCAGTCTTGTGATACTGTTTTGTTGTGAAACATGGGGATGGTTGTTGGACGATGATATTTTTTCGTTGCCTGTGTTAATGGTCCAAATGATTTTAATGGTTATGGGTGTAGTACAAGGAGCTTTCACTAAGCAAGCTTTCGTTTCTGTTATCACTGGATCACCGGTGCCTCATTAAGGAATGTATGTATATTTAACAAATGGAAGGAAAATATGAGTAAATTGTTATGAAATATTGCCATGAGTCCCTGAGGATATACCAAGTCTTCTCTTGAAGGACTCCGAGTAGGTTTCTTGAAATATTCCAACAGTCAGTGAATTCTAGGACTTAACCACTCATAAAAAATCTT